CCTTCAAACCTTACTCATGACACTAAATCAAGCATCAAAGCAGTCATATATTATTAGTACAGCCTTAATCCTGCGTCTAAGTTTATTTTTATTTTAAATTACCCTAAACTATGTCTAAAAAGTTTTTATTCATTCATTTTTTTTTTCTTCTTTTTTAAGATTCAAATTGAACGGAAGATTCCCTGTTCTATGAAATATTATTACTAGTGTTAAATTTGACATAAATAAAAAAAAATTGTTTTAATATTCTTTATTTAAAATAAAATTATCATGACAGCATTAATGATTTATATAAATAATAAAAATATTGAATAGATTAATTCCTAATATTAATACGACTAACGAAAAAGCAACTTCTTTAATGTTTCAAAATTATTTATTTAAAATTTTTGAAGTAATTGTTTTCTAAATTTTTTTTAGTAGTTCGTGGGTGAAGATGCAAAGAATATTAAGTTACAAATATTTTTAAAAAAATTCTTATATGTCTTTATTCCTTGAATAAATTTATTTTTTATATTTTGAAGTAATTTTAAATAATATAAGTTATTTACAAAACATATTTTTTACTATTTAAATATAGATTAATTCATATAGAGAAGGAGCTTGGAATTTCTTTGAGGAGTTGATGAATGAAATGATGATTAAATGTCATGACATGTTAGAATCTAAAATCCAAGATAAGGAATCAGAAAAAAAAAAAAAGAGAAGTTACAAAGATAGAAAAAGCCAAATAGATGGTAGAATAGAGAACTATAAATACCGATGTCAAATGTATTACTTATAGATGCAGTTAAAACAAAAGGCGATAGGATGGAGGAGATGATTTATGAGCTTGAAGCAATGAATAAATCACTTAGAGGAAGAGTAGAGCATATAGATGAAAAAAAATTGGAATTAAAGTTTGATCTAATCATGCTAGAGCATAAGCATCAGAGCTCTCCAATTTGAACAAAAGATTCAAACAAGAAAAACAAGAACACGTGAACTTGAACTTATAATGAAAGAAAAAAAATTATTGTGTATTTTCTTTATTTTATTTTATTTGATTGTCATTTGAGATTAAATTTCCGTGACGAAGAGAGGATTTTAGCTAAAAATTATAAAACCAATAGTTGATTAAGACACCTACTAAAGGCCCTATCTAATTAACTCAAATATTAGATTTTTCATAAATATATTAAAAAGAAAAGGTACATCAACGAAAAAAAAGAAATTATTATTTTTTTTTTCAAAATCTCATATCTAACTCGTTCAAGAACTAAAAACATGAAAAATAAGCAATAGATAATCTCATTGATAAAAAATTGGGTGAAACGAACCAAAGAATTAATTTCATAGAAAACATGTTATAATTGATCTAAGCAAGGATATCCCCCGAGCTATTAATCCTTTATTGACAACCACAAATGACGAAGTTCCTGTGGCACCATAACTAGTATAACCACCTATTTCATTGGTCCATGAATAACACTCACCTTACACTCTAATACTAATCAAATATATGATAAGGTTAGTAAGAAGACAAAGAATGAAAATAAAGAAAAGAAAAATGTTGAAACATATATTGTGTATCAAGGAGAAGATCAAGCTATTACAAGAGCTTAAGTTAGAGGGTTGACTGATCTATCTTCAGTGAGCTAAATTTCAGGAGTTTTTGTTTTTGAAAAATTTAGAACATCAAGATTTTCCAAGTATAATGAAACAAGTTATCTAATAGTAAAGATGAAGAGATATCATTTGAGGATGATTAAATATCTTTCCAGTCAACAACATATGGTTTATGAGAGTTTGATAGAAAATTGTTGAAAATAGTTTTTAACTCTAGAGCTGACTTAGGTTAAAACTGGAGAGGATTTAATGGTGGCATTTTTGTGACAATATGGTTATCATGCTCAATTGGCCCCCACTAAAGAAAAATTGCAAAAGATAAAAAAGAAGGGTTCGAATTTTCAAAACTGATGTTCTAAACTATTATGGTACCTTAACTGTTCTTTTATTAAGATCGCGTGTAGTAAAAAATTAGAAGATGTTGTTAAAAGTAAGAGACTGACTGATTATGATGCTTTTCAAAGCATGTTAAAACAACACCAAATAATAATGGAGATTTGTATAACGATTATTGAAAGGGAAGTTATGCACTATGCAAGAAACCTCTTTGATAGAGTATAAGACATAAAGTATAATAGAGCACATGCGCAAAGAGATGGACATAGTGTAAACACAACTCAAGAAGCATATAGACCACATAGGCCAAACACCATTATGCCAAGTGGGCCACTCACTAGATCACGAACTAAGAGACTCAAGTAAGCCTTTCAAATTTACGTTCAATAATAGACCAACAAAGAAGGAATACTTGAGCTAAATCTAGAGAGACATAAAATATGGAGGCCAAATTCATTGAGTCACATGGAGAAACATCTCATTGATCTCCCATAAGTCATTGGGCTGAATTTTCAAGGTTAAATTCATGACAAATTAAGTTCAAGATTTTAATTAAATAGTAATGTCTAATGGGTAATATGGATTAATTAGGATTCCTTACGCCATATGGATTAGTTATTTATTTTTTTAACATGATTGATAATTAGTTTTTATATAGGACTTGTTAAACTATATTTGATTAATTATTCGTTTTTCTATTATGATTGAGAATTGGTTTCCATTTAGAATTCATTAATCCACATGTATAAATTATTCATTTTCCTATTACGATTAGATTTTAGCTTTAGATTAGATCTTAGCTTTAGGATTAAGCTAGATATAAGAGTTAAGATTATTTTCTACTCCTTTAAGGATCGTGATTAGTATGACATTTCCTATAACACTCTTTTATGTGTATTTTTTTCTTATTATGCTATGGAAATAAAAGAATTTTGGTCAAGACTATGTTTTGTAGCTTGTAAGGTTCTTCAATTTTATTGCATTAAGAATTGATTTTAACTTATGAAGATTTTTTGTGATCTTTTAATTTTTTTGCTTTCATCCTAATCACCTTAATTTCAATTACAAGTTATTTGTGGGTTAAATAGGAAGAGTTTATTTAGGTTTAAGTTTTAATGCTAATTGTGTATATTTTAGTTCAGATTGTATGTTAATATTGCGTGCACATCACTTGTAAAACACAACATAAAAAAGATTAGGAGTTTGGCAAATTTTTAACAAGTTACATATGGTGCTTTTAAGCCTTAACTGAGAGGAAAAATTTAGTCGTAACAGATATATAGAATTTCACATATCTAGGGTGAACTAATAAGAGAATAGGCTTAAAAATATGAATATTTAATTGTTAATCTCAAATTGAATATATAATCAATACTTTAACTAAGATGGTTATAGATTAAAGATTTTTTCATCACATGTAGCATAAGAAAAACCATGACTATAAATATGAATATATGCAATTGAAGTTGTAACACTCAATTTATTATTTTTATCTTTTTCTTATTATTTTGATATATATTAGAATTTTAGTTTAATTTTTTTAATATTTAATTTATAAGGTTTTAATTTAATTTAATTTAAATTAATAAAAATAAAAATAATAATAATGATAAAATAGGGTAAAATTATTTTTGGGATTTAATAGAAATTGATTTTAGGAAAAAAAAGGGTGAAAATTTGGATTCTGGGGGTATTTTTGAAAAGAAAATCAGAAATCGGGGCTCAAAATGTAATTTAGAAAAGTTATGCCACGTCAGCAGCCACGTTAGCGGTCCCAGCCAACCAGAACACACCATGTGGCAAGGAAGCGGACGCGGGAGACCACGCGGAACGGAGCCACGTAAGCGATCCGTGTGCACGCGATCGAACGATCCAGATCTCACGCGTGCGGACGGCCCAGATCTCACACGCAACGACGGCCCAGATCTCACGCGTGCGGACAGCCCAGATTGAATCGCGCACGGACGACCCAGATCGCATCGCGATGGACGACCTAAATTTAATCCCATTTTAATCGCGATCGGACGGTCCAGATTAAATTGTGATGGACGGCTGAGATTAAAAGAGGAAGGTTATAAATAACCTCACCCACACCCGACCCCAAACCATAGCCGCCAGTGCTCTCGCCGGAGGAGCCGACCGCCGTCACCCGCCACCGCACCGGAGAGTTTTTTGACCGCCAAACGACGTAAATTTTCTCCTCTTGGCTCGTTTTTCGATACTGAATCCGCTTATGGCCAAATCGGAGCCAAACCACCGGCCAATCGGCCGAAAAATACCGCCGAAGTCCAGCGGTACCGCCGCGGTTTCCCTCAGTTTTTGCCTCCGATGAGGCCCTTTCCGATTCCCGTTCGATGCAATTTTTACACCACTGTGATCACCGTCCTTTTCTCTACAGGTTGACAGGAGAAAAACATCAAACCGCGACTCACATCGGAGAAGCCGCTGCACCCGAGAGCACCAGCGCTGGTAAGTCTCGGTTTTTCATGATTTTTTGACCCATCGAGGGCCCTAGGGTTGTTTTATCGCAGGAACCAATGCAAGTTTGACCGAATTCAGCCAAAAACGGCCAACCCGTGGCGGCTCGCCGCCGTGGGCGGCGATGCCGTCGCCGGAGCACGGCGGAGCCGCCGTGCTGGAATTCTGATATTGGCCGAAAAAGTGCC